AATCCAGACAAAAATGCATGAGCAGAAGAAAAGAGAAGAATTTGAGCATCTCCTGCCTATACGCGTATGAGGAGTCTCATATGCGTATGGCCACCTAGTGCCACCATCCATCATACACGTAACACCAGGGAGAGAGCAAAAATCACGCCTATTCTCATACGCGTATGGGAAGGTCCATACGTGTATGAGACTAACCAGCCAAACCCCCATATGCAGGCCAAAACCTTACTTGTATGGCTCCAGCTAGGCCCTACACCTTACCCTAGGCCATACGCATATAAGTGACCAAATGTATCATACGCGTATAGGAGGAGGTCATACACGTATGACACAACCCATATCTGAAAAGCCCAAATTTCACCTCTTTAGCCAAAAAAATGTGAATTTCTAACGGATGGATGATTTTTAGGTGCAAAGAACACTTTTTGAAGGCTAGAGAACTCAAGAATTCTTGGTGGATCAAGGCTTTCATGAACCCTAAGTGATTGGAGACCTCTTTTATTCGATTAATTTATAATGTCTACACTTTCTATTTTGTTTCTCTTTACTATTATGAGTAGTTAACCTCCCCCCCCCCCCCCTCCCAATGCTAGGGGGTGTCCCTGATTCAAGTTTATGAAATAATTTTGGTTTGAACCTTGTAATGACAATGATTTGATCATATTTGATTTACTTGCAATTTTTTCTTAATGTTTTCTCTCTCGGACAAATTGAGTTTGATTTACGATTAATACTTAGGGTGAACTGCCATTATTAACGCTTAACTATGAGTATTTCATAATAGATATCACCTAGAACTAGGGATACCCTATGGAAGCTGAAATATTCTTGATTAAAATAATGCTTAATTTTATTTGTAATTCACTATGGACATAGGATTTAAGTTGAATGGTTAAAGATTTTCTCACAAAGGACTTAGGAGTAAACACCCTTGAGGACCGGTAATCAGTGTTGTTGAATTAAGTTGTTGCAAGGTCAAGTTATTTTTATTGAAGAATCCACTCATAAATGTTCCCTAGCATGTTCACTCATAATCTCTTTTAAACCATTCAACTGTTTTATTTACTTTCAATTGCAATTTATTTTCTATTTTCAAAACAACAATCCAAAACCCTCGAGTCTTTTGTTTAACTAATTTAGAACCAAAACTCTGTATCGCCAAGCAGTCATTGAGATTGTTATTTAAGGAATTTCCCTTATTACTACATTGGAAGATTAGTACACTTGCTAACTTACCGACTAGTTAGGTAATTTTGGATTTTTTTTTATCTAGGTGATGATAAAGTATGTCTTATCACTATAATGGGAAAAATTAAAATTTCCATGGACGATGGAGGCGTGTGAACATTGAATGATGTCAAATATATTCTACAATGGATGGATAACTCAATTTCCTTAGGAATTCGAAATGAAAATAGTTTCTTCTACAAGTCTAATGGAGATAGGGACATTATGAAGGTTAGAAAGGGTGCATTGATTGTGATGAGAGCAAGAAGAACAATAGGTAACATCTACAAACTATTGGAGAACACTATTGTAGGTGATGTTGTATTAATTGAGTCTGATAATGCTGCAACAAACTTTGGCATATACGCCTGAGTCATCTCAGTGAGCATGGGATGATGGAACTTAATAAAAGAAATCTACTGAAGGGTGTTCATAGTTTCAAGATGGATTTGTGAAAGTATTGTGTAATTGGGAAAAAATGTTGTGTTTGATTCAAGACTGGAAAGCATAAAACAGAGTAAATTTTAGACTATGTGCATTCTGATGTGTGGGGACCTACCAAAGAGGTTTTTATGGGTGGTTTCAAGTATTTTGTGAATTACATAAATGATTTTTCTTGCAACGTTTGGTTGTATTTCTTGAAGAAGAAATCCGAAGTCTTTACCAAGTTCAAGCTTTGGAAGGCATGGGTAAAGACTCAAACAAGAAGAAAAATTAAGTATTTACAGTTAGATAATGGGACATTAAACACTAATTTGAATTTCAGGAGGTTCTGTGATCAACACTGTATTCAAATACATTTCTCAGTTTGTAAGACATAACAATAAAATGCTATGGCAGCGAGAATGAATATGTCTCTGACTAAAAAGACAAGATGTCTCTTGTTAAATGTTGGACTGTTAAAAGGTTTCTGGATAGAGGCAGTTAACATGGTATGTTATCTTATCAATAGGTCATAATGGACTTCATTGGAGAGGAAGGTTACAAAGGAGGTATCGATATGTAATCATATTAATCTTGATAATTTATGGAGTTTTGAGTGTCCAGATTATATGCATTTATTAAGATCCATCCAAACTTAATCTAAAGTTGAAGATATGTGTCTTTACCGGTTAAACAAAACGAGAAACTTCTAGCAAATAAGTGATTCAAGTGGATGTTTATCTACCACTAGTAACAATACACAAGTAGTGCCTGAACCACAAGAGAAAAAACTATGATATTAAAGTTGACCATTAACTTGAAGTTTCAGGTGGAGTACAAGATTATATTCTTGTATGTGATAGAGAACAGTATTCAACAAAACCACTAGAAAGATGTCGGTATGAAGACTTAGTAGCATATGCACTTATTATAAGTTTTTGGAGACCCTTCCACCTTTCGAGAGACTATAACTATCCATGAGAAAGATAAGTGGATGTGTGCAATGGTGGAGGAGATGAAGTCCTTGAAGATAAATAAAAAATGAGAGCTACTTTAGCTTCCTAATGGTAAAAAGGTCGTCAGTTGTAAGTGGGTGTTCGATAGAAAACAAGTAGTAATAGAAAACAAAAGGAAAAAGTTCAAGGCTTGCCTTTTTGTAAAGGGGCAGTCACACCATAATGGAATTGACTATGATGAAATTTTCTCTCTAGTCGTTAGACATACTTCTGTTAGGGTAATGTTAGCCTTGGTATCCAGTCGGGATATGCATTTAGAGAAGGGGAATGTGAAGATAACATTTCTTCACGGTAATCTAGATGCACAAATTTATATGGAGCATCTAGATGAGTTTGGTGACACTGGATATGGAAGACTAGTTTTTAAATTGAGGAGGTATTTATATGGTTGGAAGAAGTGTCTAAGGAAATTATACAAGCGCTTTGATTTCTACAAGGTTAAGACTGGCCACAGGAAGTGTGAATATAATTGTTGTGTTTATGTTAGGAGCCTCGATGATGACACTTTTATTTCCATGTTATTGTATATTGATGATATGTTGATTTTTGCCAGTCATTTACATGACGTAAATGAATTGAAAATCATGTTGGGAAAGGATTTTGTCATGAAAGACTTAGGTGTTGCCAAAAAGGTTCTTGGATTGAAAATTTACACTGATAAAACTGCTAGAAAATTATGTCTCTCTCATAAATTTATGTTGAATAGGTGTTAAACGAGTTTGACATTAGTAATTTGAAGGCTTCGAGTACTCTATTAGCGAATCACTTTAAGCTCTCATTGGATGAATGTCCAAAGACAAATGCAGAAGTTGAGCATATGTCAAAGGTTCCTTATGTAAGTGTTGTTTGTTTCTTTAATGTATGTTATGGTCTACACTAGGCTAGATTTGGCACATGTTTTAAGTTAAGTTTGTAAGTTTATGTCCAAAACAGGCATCCATCATTGTGAAGCATTCAAAAGAATTTTTCAATACTTGAAAGGTATATTGTGTCTTGGTATCATGTTTAGTAGTGAATAAGGTGATCCTTCGATTGTGGGATATGATAATTCAAACTAGCTAATGTTATGGATGATAGGAGATCTACAACTATGTATATCTTTACTTTAATAGAATGACTTATTTGTGGAATATGATTATTAACTAAGCTGAAGATTTCCTACAAATAGGTCCTCCTATTAAAGTAAAGATATACATAGTTGTAGATCTCCTATCATCCAAATGATGCATAGTACATGGAAGCAGGTGAAGCTACTTAAGAAGTCTGATGGATTACATGATTGATGATAGAATTAGGTGTTAAGCAAGGTAGAGTTTGATTACACTGCGACTATCAGAGTATCATTTATTTGACAAACAATAAAGTGTATAATGCCAAGACCAAACACATTGATGTGAGGTTTCAAAATATTATAGATTTACCTGCATCTTAACAAATATTACTTGAAAATGTTCATACTTCAGAGAATACAATTGATATGTTGACTAAGCAAGTCATCAGTAATAAGTTCAAGCATTACTTGAACTTATTACATGTTTTTGAGTGTTAAGTAGGAGTTATACCTTTCTAGTTGTTAGGATGTGATCGTCTTGCATGAAATATTCATAGGGGTTTAATATTCACCAAGGTAGAAATTGTTTAGTGTGACTCATATTATGTGAAAATTTTAAACACATCTTAGACCTAATTGTTTGTTGTGAGTAAGTAACATAGGGGTGCAGGGGCTTCTTGGATATTATTGCAAGTTAAGCCCTAGGATTATATATTGATTGTTGGTATCATTGTAACTCCATAAATCCTAATTATTAGATAGAAATTAAGACAACTATAACTACTATATAACAACATAAGTAATTATAGTCAAACCGCGTTTCCAAAGATTGCTTGTATTCATTGTCTTTTAATTTTATTTCTCTTTAATCTTTGATAATGATTGTTATTCTAACACTTTTTATGTTTTCACACTTTCAAAATATTCACACATTCACACACTCAACACCTTTAAAATAGTTACATAATGATCAAAAGGTTCAAATTTAATGTATTTGTTAATTATTTTAAAATGAAAAATATCAAACTTAGAATCTAGACAATATGATTTTAATCCAATAACCAAAATTGTGTCACAAAATCATGGCCCGAGTAAAAACAGACACACAATTCAATTATTTAATATTATAATACTTATATTAAATAGCTACCTTTTTTTGACCAAACACTCAAATGTACGATAGTCAAATTAGAGTCATAAACAACATGTCCCCCCATCTTGTATAAAAGGAAAGCTCTTCTCCACAAACTAATCACACTACAACAATATCTTCATCATTCCCAATGACGACTTCTTCTTTCATCATCTATTTCTTCATCTTATCACTATCCCTTTTCTCTCTTTCTTCTGTATCAGCATCATCTCAACCACCACACTCCTTCATTCTTCCCATCAAAAAAGACCCATCAACCAACCTCTTCTATACCTCACTTGGCATAGGAACTCCTAGAACAAATTTCAATCTAGTCGTAGATCTTGGAGGAGAAAATCTCTGGTATGACTGTGGTACTCACTACAATTCATCAACCTATACTCCTATCCAATGTGGCTCTAAACAATGTCCAGAAATTGGATGTACTGGCTGTAATGGCCCCTTCAAACCAGGTTGCACCAACAACACATGTCCTTCTTCTGCATTAAACTCACTAGCCAAATTCATTTTTGGTGGTGGCCTTGGTCAAGATTTCATTTTCATTTCTCAAAACAAAGTTTCTGGTTTGCTTTCAAGTTGCATTGATACTGATTCATTTCCATCATTCACTGGCAATGATTCAGCACTTAACGGCTTACCAAAAAACACCAAAGGAATCATTGGTCTTTCAAGATCTAACCTTTCATTACCAAAACAGCTTGCTTTGAAAAACAAGCTTCCACCCAAATTCTCTCTTTGTTTGCCTTCTTCAAACAAACAAGGATTCACTAACTTGCTTGTTGGATCAGATAAAGTCTCCAAATTTGTTCAAACTACACCACTCTTTGTCAACCCTTTTTCCACAGGTCCTGTTTCAGTTGAAGGTGTTCCTTCAAATGAATATTTTATTGGTGTGAATGCTATTAAGATCGATGGACATGTTTTGAACTTAAAGCCTTCTTTGTTGTCCCTTGACAGAAAAGGAAATGGTGGCACCAAAATTAGTACTATAACTCCTTTCACTGAATTGCACACAACAGTTTTCAAGCCCTTTATTCGTGATTTCCTCAAGAAGGCTTCTGATAGGAAACTAAAGAGAGTATCATCAGTGGCACCATTTGAGGCATGTTTTGACTCAACTAGCATTGGAAATGGAAACTTACCAAGAATAGATCTTGTTCTTCAAAAGGGTGTGCAGTGGACAATTCATGAAACCAATTTGATGATAAATGTAAAGAAAAATGTAGCATGTCTTGGAATTGTGGATGGAGGGACAGAGTCAAGGATGTCGTTTACAAAAGCTTCAATTGTTATTGGTGGACATCAACTGGTGGACAATCTTCTGGTGTTTGATTTATCTTCCTCAAAGTTGAGTTTTAGTTCCTCACTTTTGGTCCACAATGCAAGTTGTTCCTAAATCCTAGTCTTGAATTAACTAATGGTGTAGTTTTATTAAGCATTTAGATTAGATGTTGCAGTTTCTATTACTTACTTTTCTCAGCATTTGTTTGCTTTGTAGTGAAAAACAAAATTGTTGTTGCTATTTCTGCAATTTATTTGACACCACATTAGATGTAATCCTTTTTATATTTATCATGTTATCCAAGTTATGAAAGTTGTTTTGTTCTTTCTGCAATTTGTTTGACACCAAAACTATTGATCAACATAAGATTTTCCCTATTGATCAAAATTAAATGTGCACATTACTATTTGACACCAACTTTTAGAAGAAAAAAAAGGTTTAGGCATTGGTGGTGATTGATGAAATTAAGAGTTTCTCAATCCACCTCTTAAAAACAAGAGATTTATCATAATATTTAAATATATAAGGATATGGATTGATAAATCATGAATTTTTCCTGTCAGTGTCAGTCTGTATCAATCTGTTTACTTTGTTGGGCCATCCATCCGCATTGACTCGAACAATTATGAGCTGCACTCCACGCCCTATAATCTTTTAAAAACCCAATCTTATCCATCTCATAATTTATTTATGGATAATGTTAATTGTGTTTTTTGGGCACATGTTAAGAAAATCACTTATAGTAAATTTGTATTGAAAAAACGATTTAAAAATTAATTTTATATTTTAATTAAAGTTTATACATAATTTTCAAGACAATGTTTTTTAATTTAGTTGTTAACATGTACCCCAAGAACACAAGTTAACATTACCCTTTATTTATTTGTGAATTCTAAAATTCTGTACTTGTAGCCTAAATCCGGTAGAAACCCATGATACTTAGAGGTCGAAAAGTTTGGGATTGTACCTAATATTAAAGGTAAACTAATAAATCTGTTATTTGTTTTTACCTGAATTTTAAAAAATCCAGAATGCAATTGCATGTAAACCATATTTAATGAAAACATGGTATTAGAGTGGAATTTTTTACCTTCATGCCAAGCCTAACAAAGAGCGGAACACTTTTAAGATGGTTTTTGCTGTCCATTAAAAGGACGGCACCGTTAAAGATTTGAAATTTATTTTTCCTTTTTACAAAATATAAATATATATATATATATATATATATATATATATATATATATATATATATATATATATATATATATATATATATATATATATATATATATATATATATATATATATATATATATATATATTAATAATGTCAATATTAATAAATATTAATAATAATATATATTAATATTATATATGTTAATAACATATATATTAATAATATATATATATATATATATATATATATATATATTATTAATATATATATTAATATATATTAATACTATTAATATTAATATTAATATTCATATAATTAATTAATATAATAATAATATTAATATAATTTAAATATTAATATTAATACGATTTTAAAATTAATTTATATTATTAATATTAATATATGTTGATAATAATAATTAATATTATTTAGTAAGAGATAATTAAGCTCATATAATTATTAATAATATATTAATAGTTAATTTTATTATTAATATGTTTATAATTAAAATTATTATTTAATTTAATTAATAATAAATAAACGAGTATTTTTTTATTTTTGTACAGTGTCTGCACCTGAATGGGCGGAACCTTTTAATATTTTAATGTTTTTGTACCGTGCCGGCACCTGAATGAGCGGAACTTTTTGATATTTTAATGTTTTTGTACAGTGCCGACACTAATATAAATAGAGGTGTGGTGTGACATATTCTTCACATCTGTTTTGAAGATGTATCTTCGCCGTTGGAGAAAAGTGATTTTTTCGAGAGAAAAACCGGCTATGGAAATGCTTTTCTGGAACATATGTAATTTAGAGCAACTACATAGGGAATTGAAGCGTTGGTTAGAAGGAGACATACCGGAAGGGGAAAAAATCAGAAGTGTTGAGAGGTATGATGCCCGACGTGGGTGGGTGCGAGTAATCAGTTAGAGAAATTGTACCAAATATTATGTTTAATGTTGCTTTTCATTAATTATTATGCATGTTGATTTATGTATGTGTTATGTCATTTAATGAAATATAAAGTTGTGTGGTTTTTGCTAGAAGTTAGATATTAATATGAAAATAATACATGATTATTAATGAAAACACTAACGATTACTTGTTCCCACATTGGGACACCAGGTTCGATTGTGGCCCGTTTGATGACACATGGAACATTTTCTCTCAAGCTTATCAAAGTTATCCATTTCTGTCCTAATACGTGTGCTCACTAGGCAACCTTTCTTGTTCCTCCGCATTCTTGGGTTATGGCAAATTTGATCTCCTTCATAAACGGGTCAATATTCATCGTACGGCAGCACTGAAAGCTTGTGCTGTAAACCTCAAACAGGTTTGTAACCCTATAAACGTCGGACAAAAGAGCGTAAGCGTCGTGACGCACATTCGAACTTATAGCGATAACATGTGAGTAAGGGACACGATATGCTTGAAACTTTCCACAGTCACACCACCCGTTTAAGAGGGTTGACCTTATAATATCCCATAGGCTTCCCTTCACCATGGTCCATTGTCTCCTTCACACTGAAAACATTGTTAGTGTAGTCAAAAATTCTGACTTGATGTGTGCTGGATTTTGTTGTTTCTTGTTTCATCACCTTGAGGCAGTTGTCTGTAAATGTTTGGTCAGAATTCAACACAGCACTCCACTTTACACCCCTTTCAGCAAATAAAGATCTCAGTCTATAATATGTTGCCCTTACCAATGCTGTAATGGGCAAATTACGTGTGCCTTTAAAGACAACATTTAATGACTCAACAAGGTTGGTAGTCATGTGACCCCAACGTGTCAATCTCAGACCGATAGTAATGAAATGTTGGTTGGTTTAAAGCATACCCTAAATAATTAAAATATCAACAATGGACAAAAAAATAATATATGTTATTGACAAAATTTAATGAATATTATCAAAAATAGTTACCCATGTTAATTTTTTTTTTCCGTAGGTTCCTGTCCTTGATTTCTCTCATAAAATTTTGCGCAATGTGTCGGATATAATAAACATGCACTGATGGGAGATTATGCCAACCATTTTCCGCATTGTTGTATGCACTTTCAATTGATGCATGTCGGTCTGAAATCAAACATAGGGCTGGTTGTGGCGCAACATGCCTCCTTAAGTTTCGTAGAAAAACCCCCCAACCTTCAGCGGTTTCACCTTCCACAAGGGCAAAAGCAACAGGAAAAATATTGTTGTTGCCATTTGTCATACCCTAAATTTGTCCTACCCTTTTTGTAAATATTTTCGTATTTATGGTTTCATGCCATTTAGACGCGTGTCTGCTCACAATTGGTTGATTTTTCAGAACTCTATCTTTTTGACCAATTAAAAGGTAACACGTGGCTTAATACAAATTCTCTGTGAATATTATTTTATTTCAATTTCTCAACTCTTCTCTTCTTTTTAAAATATTTCTAGTAATAATAGTATTTTGTATATATATTAGATTATAAATATTAATTAGATTTATATCAATTTATTTGTTAGTATAATATTAGTTTTCTTATGGTTTTATCAATCTGCTAGTTATAGTTAATATTTTATATTGTTAATATTAATTAGTAATCAATTTGTTTAATTAATAAAAAAGGGGAGAGAATATTGTTTGAATAATATTTTCTGAGTTGCATAAGGCCCATCGGGTAGGCCCATTGGGGGAATTGGGGAAGAAGGTCTGCAGATTATAAAAGGAAAGGGAGATTGACTCAGCAGAGGAGGGGGATTTCACTGTTCATGATCCCAATTGGAACCCTAAACGGCGGAGATTCCTAACCCTAATCCCAATTTCGTTCGTTCATTCCCTCACAAATCCGCCGCCACCCTCTTGCCATCTCAAAACCCTAAACTAACGCTGTTCGTCTTCCACCCCTCTTCTGAACCCTCACACGCCGCCGCCTTGGTTTCTCACCATTACCCGTTTCCACACCACAAAACATATTCATTCCGCCATTCATTTCTCCGACGACCCAACAACTCGTAGCGACATAACAAGTTATGACGGTTGCGGTTTAGTTCGACGGGTGACGATCTCACACACATCCCTTGGCGTCGCATCCGGCTTCGGCAAACAAGAGGTGCTCAACTAGCTCCGTTTCCTCTCATCTCAGCGAAGTTAAAACATGGCGTAAAGGATTTGTTGAGCTGATATTACTCCAAGCTTATCATACCGGATTGTGAGTTTTCGAATCAAAAGCCATTACATTGTTGAGGCTTTGATTCGGATTTTCCTGTTGTATTAACCTTTGTTTTGACAGGTATTCAATTGAAGTGACCACAACTTGCGGTGATAGCAACAGAGACAGCATCAAATTGTGATTCGCGGTCTATAGTTGAACTCAACCTCGCACTTGCTCCCAGCTAGGATGCGACATCCTCGGCTTGCAGCGATGTAACAACCACGACACAAACCAGTTGATACCACCATTCGCGACATTTCCAACACCAACAGCTCAGTTTCAGCAACAGCAAAGTTGTATCTCACAAGCAACAACGTTTCGACACAGGTTCGACGGTGTCTGTAATGCTGCAAACTCTCATCAATTTCATCAATGACTAAGAGTGATAAAAGCTTCCACCTCAACTAATTCGGTTGGTAATAGCACTTTAAATTGTTATCGGTGATGAGTATCTCGTCATGGTGTGTTTAATGTTTTAAAATTTAACAGCTTTTCTAAACTGAGCTGATGCTTTGGGTTACTGATTGGTATTATATTTTGGTTGGCATATTGTTGTTCTAATTGCCGTATACAGTAGGTAGTTTGATTGAAGTTTGGTCTTGAATTCTAAATGATATTGTTATCTTGCATCTGAGTGGTAAATATTACAGGGAGTTGCAATTTTGTTTATTATTTCATTTTGTCAGTTGTGAATATTGCATTATCCTTATTTCAAATTTTGGGTATTTTGTGAATTGTTAAATGATGATTGTTTTGATG